TAGCCTGGTCCGGCAGACCTGGGCCTCATGAGTATCCCATCTGCAATATTCTATTCTATTCTATTCTATTCTATTCTATTCTATTCTATTCTATTCTATTCTATCCTATCCTATCCTATCCTATCCTATCCTATCCTATTTCATTCTATTCAGTTCTATTCAGTTCTTTACAACTACACCAGGCCCCAAATGTGGTTCAGATCCGCCAAAAATTTGAAAATACTGGTTTTCAGACTGCAGCTTTACCACCCCCTTTATCGGCAGAGCTATGTGCACGAGATGATCGCTGAAGAGATGACCCTTTGACTGCCAGGGAAGGCCAGGGTGCTTCTGGGAGGGCTGTGGCTAGTCCTTTCTCTTACCACCCATCACAACAATCCAGCCGCTTTACCTTTATGTAACAGGCAAGGTAGGATCACCCTCCTCCTCTAAACAGCACAGCATCTGCAGAAAGACCTTCTGCAGATGGGCTGCAGGTCCTGCTAGGCTGCCAGGCACTTGTGTTCCCAGGCTTCTCCAAAACCCAGCACCAGTAGCAGTGTGGTTAGGAGACCGGACCCTCCGTTCCACATAAAAGCTGTAAGAGTAGCTCAGAAATCCTACCAGAAAAGAAGTTCTCTGGAAGAGACGGTACCTGAAAGCAAGATCTGTAAGCCACGCATGCCCACCTCACACTAGACCCTGCTGCGTATGAAGCTTTAGAAACACGCCATACGTACTAATACTCCTGTACCACTGCTGTGCATGCCAGCTCTCACTTGGCTGCACCGTCTTGCACAAATTGCTGTGATTTAAACAGGCAAAGGAGCAAAAATATCATTGCCCTTGAAGCACACGTACCTACCAATTACTCGGAGCTGCTACATACTGGGGGAAGCTTAAAATTGTCACCAGCTCGTTGTGTTCCAGCATGACTTTCTCCATGAAGGGCTGGTCTTCAGAAGCACTGCTAACGACCAGCAAGAGGAAAAAATACCCTCCGCTTTGGAAAAGCAGTCTTTTCTCAAGCTATTGTGTCCCACATTTCTGTTTCGAAAACTAGCCACCCAATTCATCTAAGGACATCACCTTTTTCTTCAAATCACACGGAAACACAGACTTATGGTTCCCTTCTCCCTTGCTAGACCTAGCTCAGATTTGTTATTCTCAGTTTCTCTATGCACATGGAAGAACCAGCAACCATCGATCACCATCTCTTCCTCCTCTTCCTTTATGTGGTACATGCACGGTCTTTGCTTTTCAGATCATACATGATATGGGGAGTAAGATGCAAAACCCGACATGCTGCTGGTGCTTGCTGCTCAGCTCTGTGGCTGCCTGCAGAGTGGTGTTCGCTTCACAAAGATCAGCAAAGAAACTAAGACTGACGGTGTGAGGTTTTCTGACAACTCAGCCACAGTGCTGGGGTCAGGACAAGGGGTCGTGGATGCAGCAGCAAAGAGGGACTGAAGGCATTAACCGAGCTTCAGTTACAGATTTCTCTACACCCAGCCCAGAAGAAGAAAGTCTTGGTAGGCACTCACGCCCTTTTGAGCCAACTTGGAAAGAAAATAGACAAAACCAATACATCAGGTGAAGAGAGGGTCAAGGACAGAAACTGCACTTAAACGAGAGGTCTAATGCATCCATCTTTAAGTGACACAGAAATGTCACAACAGAGCACGTCAAACGCAGGACACTTAGCTTCTACCATAACAGCTCAAGTTCTCTGCTACAACGGGACATCAACTGGTAATAACAACCAAGAAGAACAGATCCAGGTGATGCTCAAGCAGCAGACCCTCTGATCAGGGATGATAATTTATCGTCCAAGAAGATACAAGAAGCCCACACGCTTTTGGCCACCGAAGCTTCAATACTCGGTAAATGCTTCGGATTCAGTGGATTGATAGCTCACAAACATATTCAACTTTTCCAAAAACAGTCTTGAATTCACATAAAATTTAAAAATTGAGCAGAATAAAATTGTTATGAGTAAAATACATTAACATTCAACACAAACGTAGCACCCAGCTACCATTCATTTTCGATATAACTAGGGAGTTGTGCCAGATTCCAAGGGAAGGATGTTATGGGATGATTTACACTTCCCAGGACTGGTTTTATTCTGTGCAGCCAGTACAGTCTTTTAAAGTGGACATGCTAAAACTGATATTTAATAGACCACAGACTATTTACAATAATTTTTTTTTCCAGGATACTGGTACCTTCTACCAAAGCAACAACCGCAAACAAAGACCTAAGGATTTTGTCTAAAGTTCATTTTATGCCTCATACTCTTTGTACACCAGTACAGGGAGTTTTCACAGACTAGGACTTACTTAATAACCTGCTCAATGCTCATTTTCAAATCTTAAATTGTTCTTAGCTGAATAGATTTTGCAGGAAACCATCTCTCTTTGCACCCCTTCACTGGATGGCTTATGGCTCCACCCACTCTGTCCTTACTTTCCTTCTTCCAATAATTCATTTATGGTCAGAAGTAGGTAAACCAGCACTTCTCTAGCAGGCAAACTGCTTCTCATTTATTACTGCATCACTCTATACACCACTCCGGGTCCTCTAGACATTCCCAACCACCTTTTCTATCCAGGCATTTCCATTTTACGTTTGTCTTTGTGTTCCTTCTTTGTAGTCACAGTAAAGTTTGTTTTTGCAATTTATTAACTATAAATCATCATTATGTTATATTTGATTCCCTT